AAGTTTATATATAAATATTTCAAGCTGTTAAATTTTTATTAAAAATTTTAACCCGTAAAATTTAATTAATAAAATATGAATACAAAGAGATCAATTTTAACAATTACATAAGCATGCAAGGTGGTAACAACCATCACATTAGTAATAAACAATAAAGGAATTAAAGCTGATATTGATAAAGTAAATCATATACGCAATTTAGAACCTCCTAAAAACATACAACTTCAAAAATTCTTAAAATTTGTTAATTGGTTTAGAACCTTTTTACCCAAACTAAGTGAGATGTTAATACCTCTTACAGACAAACTTAAATCTGATAATACTAAAAAATTTAGATTGTCTGATGATGAAGAAAATATTAACTTAAAATTTTTGACCTAATATGTAAACAAGTTATGCTAATACACTCAGATTATATAAAACAATTTGAATTATATACAGACGCTTCTGATATAGGACTGTCTGCACTCTTATTTTAAGAACAAAACTTGATTGCTACATATAGTTACAAATTATTACCATAAGAAAAGAATTATACTACTGTAGAAAAGGAGTTGCTTGCTATTGTAAAAGGTCTCAAACATTTTTATAATATGATATGGGGTTATTCAATAATTGTTTACACAGATTCAAAAAACCTTACATTCATAGAATCTCCTTCTAATCAACGTATTGCTTATTGGAAATTATTGCTTTCTGAGTTCAACCTAACTTTCAAACATATTGATGTTTGTAAAAATACTGCAGCAAACTTTATGTCAAGATTCGTTACATCCAAAAAGCTATATAATACATTCTACACTTTAACTGAATATTCTGGAAGTTTAATCTCCATCGATGATGTAATTTCATGGCAGTTACCAATTAGCAAAAACAGTTTTAAAATTAAAAGGTTAAAAATTAAAAAATTTAATGGAGATGATATAACTATTACAAAAGACTCCAAAATATTCATACCACAAGAAAGAATTAAAGATTTTATTACTAAAATTCACAATATAATAATTCATCCTGGCTCTACCAGACTTTATAATACTATAAAACGATACTACTATGGTGATTTATTAAAAAGGAAAATAGAAGAATTCACAAATAATTGTATTAAATGCCAGGTATCAAAGAATTATAGACGTAAAAAATCTAGAAACTTTCATCTAAACCAAAAAGAATTTAATGACATAGTAGCTACTGACCTGGTTGAACCCTATAAACTTGATGAATTTACAGAAGGGGAAGGTAAGGTCTATGTCCTCACATTAATCGATATGCATATAAGATTAGTCAGCCTACATGTTATTGAGAAGATTACATCTGAAAATATTTCTCTTGCAATAGAAAATTAGTTTAAAATGTATAATCCACCTAAAGCATTATTATCTGATCAATGAAAACAGTTTGTCGGAAATCCTTTACTAAAACTATGTGAAAAATACAAAGTAAAAAATTTATTTAGTTCTATTTATTACCCAAAAGGCAACTCAATAGCAGAAAGAATTAATAGAAAATAACAGACAGTATTTGCACAGAAAAATCAAATTCTTTCTATAATATAATTAAAAGAGTTGAGATATCTTTAAATAACTCTTTTCACACTTCTCTAGGTTTTTCACCATATGAATACATATCTAAGTACAGTAATTTTGACATTTTTGGAACTAAACTAGATATACCTGAGCATAAACTAACTTTTAATTGTAACAAAAATGAAAATTAAAAAATTAAAATAAGAGACAAACTTCTAGTTAAAAATACTGATACTTCTAAGCTATCCGATAAGTTCCTTGGACCATACTGTGTGATTGATATTAATAAATACGGAAATGTTGTAACCTTAGATGCAATAGATAAACAAATTTCTGTTAACATTAATAGAACTAAATTCTTTAAAGAAGGGGAAGATGTCACATCACATTGTGACAATACTAAAATGTAAAAGAAATATATATCTAAAAGAATTTATTTATTAATAATTATCTTTAATATTGAAATATTAATATTAATTATTTGATTGTGTCGTATCGACATTTGAAACATATTTGAAACAAATTGTTTCAAATTAAATATATAAAGAAAAATATAAATAAATTTATGAAACCAAATAATTTTAAAAACCATAAAGCTGGCAAAAAGGCACGTACCACCCAAGGATACGTCAGATTGTAAACAAATAAGCTATAAATAGAAAAAATAAATTCTTTACCCCGAAATTTTAATGTCTTCACCCAACAGCAATAACCCTACGGGTTATGGCAGATTAAAAAAAAATATCTATAAAAGAATTCTTATTTTCCAAACTTAAAAATTTTTAAAATGGCTCATATCAGAATCGAACCTACAACAATAAATCACAGTTTTTACTAACTGAGAAGTAATTACCATGTTATATTAAAATGTAAAAAATATTTGATTTATTTTTTAATATTGAAAGAATTAAATATTAAAAAATAGAATCAGTTTTCATAACACAGTTCTTGTTTTTTTATAAGATTCTGTGAAATAAGTCTTATTTTTCAAACTTAAAAACTTTTTAAAAATGGCTTGTATCGGAATCGAAAATACAACTAACAAAAAACACCCTAGTATTTATTAACTAGGACAGCTTTTTACGATTAAAAATATAATTCTGACAAAATATTTATATTGTTTTTTTAATTTAAATAAGAATTAAATATTTAAAAATAGAATCAGTTTTTATAATACAGTTTCGTTTTTTTATAAGATTTTGTGATATAAGTCTTATTTTTCAAACATAAAATTTTTAAAAAATGGCTTGTATCGGAATCGAACATACAACTTCAAAAACATCCTAGTATTTGTTAACTAGGAACGCCTTTGATGAATTAAATATAATTTTTATAAAATATTTAAATTGTTTTTTTAATTTATGTAAGAATTAAATATTTAAAAATAGAATCAGTTTTTATAATACTGTTACAAAATTTAAACTTTTATAAAATATGAACAATATCAGTATCGAAAATACAAAAACCACTACAGACTTTTATAAATGTAATGGAATTAAAAAGTTTATATATAATTATATAATAAAATTTAAAAGTCGTTTTAAAAATATATTTAAAGAATTGAATATTTAAAACTAGAAATGGTTTTACTGAAACATTGCTCTTTTTATTATAAGATTTTGTTAAAAAAGTTTTCTTTTTTAAATTTAAAAAAGAGACTTATATCAGAATCGAATTATCAACAATAAAACACAGTTTTTATTAACTGTGAGTCAATTTTACAATCTATGATGAATATAAATAAAATACTTAATTTGTTTTATAAAATATTTAAAGAATTGAATATTTAAAACTAGAAATGGTTTTATAATACAATTTTCATTTCATCAAAAATATTCGTAAACTAAGTTATTTTATACAAAATTTATAATTTTTAAAACATGAACGACATCAGAATCGAACCTACAACAATAAACCACAGTTTTCATTAACTGTCAGTCCATTATCTACTCTATAAATAAATATAAATAAAATATTTAGACTGTGTATTTAAATTAATCTAAAGAATAGAATATTTAAAA